GCCCTGGGACTGGGATAGACTTAGGCTCCAGCCCACACGGCCATCCCTCCAGTCGATCGACTGGAGGGAGAGAGCCACCTAAGCCTAGGTGGTCTCTCTATTAGAGTTTGACCACCTAGGCTTAGGTGGCTCTCTCCAGTCGATTGACTGGAGAGAAAGACAAGCCCTGGGACCGGGGCTTTCGTCTATCCCGGTCCCAGGGATATAGACTTTGTGGAATAGGTGAAAGCTGATAGTGATTGGTTGTAAATTTTCTCTATGGTTGACTCGGTAGGGATCTTAGTAATGATCACATTAGGTTTTGATGGGTGTGCATTTACCCAAAAGGTGAACTTGTGGTACGGTTAGGTATTGGGTTTTGTTGTTTTATACATATGTGAAGTTTGACATGATGAAAATCGATTTCTTGAAATTTTCATGTATTATTTGTGCCAAAGTGCCAAGTCAGTGGTCGATATTTGACTTGTGGTCTGGAAATTGTGAAACTTGGCAGAAAGATAGGTTTTATCCCCAATACAGGCGGTTTCAGACCAGTATTGGGGTTAAATCTGATGTTTATTCCAGTTTTATCAATTTCTGACCCGGGGATTCTGAAATTTCAATTTTTGAAAATTGAATTGTCACTTTGACACACCTCGCATTCCGTACGATCAAACTGTTCGGTCGCTAAAGTATCAGGAAGTACCAAGGTACTTTCGTTGGAATAAGCAGACAAAGAGGTTAACTGCCCGAAAGAACTCTGTTATCGCGCTGGGCCGGGTTTACTTTGCCAACATCAGACATGGCGATCTATACTACTTACGTCTTCTTCTATCGCACATCCGGGGACCAACCTCATTTGCATATTTAAGGACTGTGGATGGTGTCTTATGCAATTCTTTCAGAGAAGCAGCCAACAGACTCGGTCTTTTACTCGGAGATCAGCACTATCATGCGAGTCTAACTGAAGCGGCTAATTGGAAAACAGGGAACCAATTGCGACACATGTTGGGGATAATCTTAGTCCACAGTTCGCCTGGAGACCCAGTCGAGCTCTGGAATCAGCACGTAACCGATCTTTCTGACGATTGCGCACGACAAATCACGCGACTCAATCCTCACATTGAACCAACTGTGACTCAGGTTCAGAATTATGCTTTATTTCTCATGCAAAAGATACTTGCTACAATGGAAAAAACTTTGTCAGCTGTTGGTTTACCTCAAGTCGACGAAGAGTTGTTATTACAGTTACAATTGCCTGACGATGCAAGAAATATTGGTACCAATGTAGTTGATCCACAGGAGAGTGCTCGAAAGCATGAAGCAATGCTGAATTTGGTGACCGTGGAGCAAAGACTAATTATCAATACTATACTGGAGAGCTTAAACGAGAAAATTCCTTATTTAGCTTTTCTTGATGGGCCAGGGGGGACAGGCAAGACATTTGTCCTAAATTGCCTCTTACACTAT